CCATGTCCATTGTCCTGCTATAAAATGAGACAGATCAACTAAATAATCTCTAAGTGTCCTTCCATCTCTGACAGTCCATCAAAAAACACACAAATGGCCCGAGCTGGTTTGGCTCAGTGGATAGAGCGTCAGCCTGTGGACTGAAGGATCCCAGGTTCTATTCTGGTCAAGGGCACATGCCCTGGTTGTGGGCTCGATCCCCAGTAGGGGGCAGGCAGGAGGCAGCCCATCAATTATACTCTCTCATCATTGATGTTTCTATCTCTCTCTCCCACTCCCATCCTCTCTGAAATCAATAAAAATATATATTAAGTAAAAAACACAAATGTCGCCGAAACCGGTTTGGCTCAGTGGATAGAGTGTCGGCCTGCAGACTGAAGGGTCCCAGGTTTGATTCCGGTCAAGGGCATGTACCTTGGTTGTGGGCACATCCCCAGTAGGAGATGTGCAGGAGGCAGCTGATCGATGTTTCTCTCTCATCGATGTTTCTAACTCTCTATCTCTCTCCCTTCCTCTCTGTAAAAAATCAATAATATATATATATATATATATATTAATAATAATTTAAAAAATGAGAAAAAAAAACCCACAAATGTCCTGCAAACCAGATATTTTTCAGACTGTGGATGCTGTGCAGATGCCACTAGTACATACTAGTAAGTCCAACCATAGCCCTGCTTTTCAAGCTAAAACTATCCTTGCCCACGCATCCCCAAACATCCCTTCTGGCTTGTTGCTTTAGCCCTAGCAATCAGACAGACATCACTCCCAAATTATCTTTCTACCCAATTCAAGCTAGGCCTCAGGTGGGAAAAAATATCTCTAAATTTTCTATACACAAATAGAATTTTTTCTCAAGCAGAGCCTCGTTCTAAATCCCACTGTGAGGAGTACTCCCCTGGGAAAGCAGCTGTCCACACCCCAAATTAAAGCTACAGTGCTCCCAGTAACAAGTCCCATCGCCCGGCAAGCAAGCCAGCTGTCAGGGCTATAAACCCAGGGTCTGGGAGCAGAAATGCCATTTGCTCTGGCAATAATGATGTACTCACGCGATGTCAGGCAGCTGGCCCTCCGCTGGCTCTCACTCCCTCTCACACACCCAGAGTCCTATTGCAAGGAGGTGATCCCAAGGCCAGAGGGGAACAGCACTGAGACATTCTCTTCTCTGCTTCCAGAACAAGGGGCAAAGGAATGGAGGGGAGGGATGGGGGAAGTGGGGGAGGGGAGAGACTTGGTTTCTGGAAACAAGAATTCAAATCCTGCTTCTCCTAAACCCTGAGTCACCTCCTTCTCTTCCAATAGATCAGTGTGGTGGGTAAACATTTCCATATATGGGGAAGCAGGCTGGAGGATGTCAGAAAAATCGCCCTTCTGTCCTCTGGCACTTGAAGAACATGCCCCACTTAAGACAGAATTCCTTACTCGGAGTAAATGTTTAACCCCAAAAGAAGTGGAGTCTAAACTGTCCCACATGCTCCACCACCCAAACAAGGGAGGGACTAGTTTGAAAGTCTATAAGCTCACCTTAGGAATGGGGTCATGGGAGAATACAACTACATTTATGAAGTCACTCTGTTAATTCAGGGTAAGGGGAGGTATCTGGTGGGATTCACCTGAAGAGGTCACCAAGAATCCATCTGCAGTTTTTTTAATGACAGGTGAGTCTAAAACAATCCCCACTCTTGGAGCCCAATCCCTGACTCTCTTGGGCAGAGAATTCTCCTGGGAACTTAGTTTTGCATGAGTTCTTCATAGGATAGATACCAGGTGGGAAGACCCAGAACAAAACCAGACTTTCAGGGTTTGGGGGATGGGGAGTTCGAAATAGGAGTGTGGAATGCCCCATTTAACTTGTAAGGTTAATTCCAATCTGAAGTTCCTGAGTAGTGTTCAATGACTAAATTGGACCAGTGAAGTCAGTCAGGAATGAATGTGGTCTAAAATAACTCCAGACTAATTTAGAGGAGGAGAAAGGAGAGAGAAAAGAGATGCTGGGGGAAATAACGAGATGGGTAAAGAGGGGTCTGCTCAGCAAAAGGAATCCATATCTCAGCTTCCTAGTGATTCTATTTCTTAGCGTGATTTTGTTCTGCTGTTGGTTGTAAAGGCTTATATAGGTCAGATGAGCCATTTTTCAGAATTACCACCCACTTCCTAGCTTTTGGACCTGCACCATGAGGCTACTTGTTCTCATCCCAAGAGAATCTTCTAGCAATAAACAGCACTGGTCAGGGAGCAAGAGGACCCAAGCCCTAAATCCAGATCAGTCACTTCTTAAAACCTGGGACAAATCAGTTCTCCTCTTGTAGCTTATATGGTTTCACCTACAAACTGGGTAGCTATCCCAAGATTGTCCAACTATGAGTTCTGAAAGCAGCTTCTACTTGGTCTAGACAAATAGTCTTGACACATTTATGTTGATTACTTGTTTTTGCAAGGATGCCTCAAGTGCCTGAAAATTTGCAGACATTTCTTATTTGTCGCCATGTTGAATAAATGGACACAAACATAAGTGACTATGAAATGATAAGGAAAGGATCAGAGAACCTTCCACTACATGCCAAAACCAGAACTCAGCACAGAAGTCTCACCACTGCCATACTCCCAGGAGGTCCCAGAGGCAGGCCTGAAGAGGGTAAAGAGATGGCCTTCATTTGTTACTAGACCAGCCATCAGACCCAGTGGTTCTTATAGAAAGATTGTCATCCTGTGAGGATCTCAAAGTCCCTTCCAATATTGCCACAGGAATGTTTTAGCAGATGAACGAGATATTCCATGAAAAGTAGTTGCCCATGGATAGCCTGGGAATTCTAAAAACCAAGGACCAAGGAGAGAGCTACAGGGATAGATATGAAAACCAGAATGATAGAGTCTCTACCGTCCATTTTGCAAATAGCATTTAGAGATCAGTTTCCACATCCACAAAGGGGTCCTTCGTTCCTTAATGCATGTGTGCCTCTCTTCCTCTTATGTCTTAACCACTGACAACCAGTGGACCTTGGATCTCACAAGAAGAAGACCATTGGCCACTGAGCCGATGCCCTTCTCCCCCATTAATGAATCCCTGTGATCTCTGGTGAGGTGGAGAACATCTCCTACACAACACCTCCTGCAGCTGCAAATTCTGTCTTTCCAATAAAAAGTTCTTCCTTATATAGAAACAAAATCTGGCTCCCTATGAAGCTATCCCAGGCCTTATCCCTCAGTTACTCTGGCTGTTTCCTGACCATATCACACTGCTAGCTTCTAATGCGTCTGTTGCCAACTTGAAATCCATCCTTCTGGGGTTTTCCAGTAAGTGTTACTGTTCTACATATATACTGCTGGCCTTATGGATTCACAAGATGTACCCTTCTAAATCCCAGTCATTGAGAAATGGGAGAAGTTAGGTCTTCCAGGCCAGTTCCTCATCTACCTCTACCTCATCACCATGCCACATTCCTGTCCTCCATGGACAAAGCTTGGGATCCCATTCCCACCTCCCCACTCCTGCTCTCCAGTCCTGCCAGATCTAAAACTGTCTCCAAGATGCAAGACTGTTCCAAGGAACATGGAGAGAGCGCTCTGTATAAAAAATAGAGTCTTCCCAACTCAAGTGCTCTCGTGGCCTGCAGGCAGGACAGTAAGGACAGTCTTGCCCATCGAGGGTCTGGGAGTTTGTTCGTGACCCCTGACAACCCCAGCATCATTCTAGAATGTGCTGTCTTCACAAAAGGGGGTAAGATTTCTTTTCTGTCACAGTTCATGGCACTACTTGGATTTCAGGTACAAGTAGTGACAATGCCTCACATTGGAAGCACGCTTTATGGGTTAGTAACTGCTTTCCCAGATAGTCTCATCTAATCCCTCTAGCCGTTACCCCTGGAGGGAGTCTTCTACCTAATTTAGTTATAGGGAAACTGTCAAGCAGAGGTATTAAGTATATTTCCAAGGTCACAGCAAGAGTAAGTACCCAAAAGAACACTAGTTTAGTAGTTAGACTGTTCAAGATTCCAGGTGCACTTCTGGTAGCTGTACGATCTCTAAATAACAGTTTAAGCTTTCGCAAACCTTGGTTTCTACACCTGAAAATTGGAGATTAACACAGACCCTCTGTCTACCTCTCAGGTCAGTTATGAGTATCAAATGAGATAATGTGAGTGAAAGCCCTCTGGAGAAAGGGAAGGCAGTACAAAGTGTAAGGGATCATTGTGTGATTACTTGTAAATGACTGTGCATTCCATTACAAATTCAAAAAGCAGTGAGGTCATTCTCAAGACAAAGAAACATTAAGGCTCTGGAATTGCAGGGCAATAATCTGATGTTCTACAGGTTATGTCTATATACTACTCCCTCTTGCAGTTGAAGGTCAGCAGTAACTGTCAAGTTTCCAACTGCCAAGTCACACAAGTTTACAGGAATGCTCAAGACAAACGCTCCCTTTTCAGCTATAAGCAAATGCCAGGCCCAAAGGAGATAATAGAAATGGACGTTTGGGAGACCCCTGAGATTCTCAGTTCCGGAAACGTGACCTGCAGTGTTTTCCTTGGAGTTGTTAGAAACACAGGCTCCAGTTTCTCTGCAAGACGCCCGTGGGGAAATAAGCATGCAGTAAGGAGCTACTGACCAGAGAGCACTGAGGGAGCTCCCAAGCACAAATTCAGGGGAACAGGATATTTCAAGTTGCAGATACAAAAGATAAATTTGAACCCATTAAAAACCTCCCCAGCCCAGCTGGTGTTGCTCAGTGGTTGAGGATCGACCTATGAACTGGAGAGTCGAGGTTCAATTCCCAGGCCAGGACACATCCCAGGTTTTGGGCTAGACCCCCAGGAGAGGGCAGCTGATCAATGATTCTCTCTCATCATTAATGTTTCTCTCTCTCCCTTGCCCCTCTGAAATCAATAAAAATATTAAATAAATAAATAAGCAAATTAATTAATTAATTAATAAAAACCTCCCAGCCACTCCTTAAGATTTGAGACAAAATTTTAAGGCAGGGAAGAGGCCCATTTACATACCAGAGGTCCTGCTGCAGGTCACCTGGGAGCCAGAGGGCACCCGAGAAGATCTAGAGTGCAGCAACTGGTCTGGCTTCCTTCAGTCCTCTCCCAACACGCTAGTCATCAGGATTCTCTTCAATTTCTGCAAAGATCCAAGTCATCAATGTCATTATGGAGGGGCCGGATTTTCCCCAGAAAGCCATTCCCAAGGCAGTTGAACACACAGCTCAATGATGATTGTTTTCTGCTTTGCATTTTGTCATCTGTTTTCTGTGCTCAACACTGGAGAGAAGCACTGACTAAATTAATTTGTGACACAGATGTGTGAGCACTAGTGGCAGAGGTGGACAGTCGGGTGCAAACAGAGATAACTCAGAAAGGTCAACTGAAGCCCATACCATAATTGTTGCGGGCCAAGGTGTTACAGTCTGTTGTTTTGTTTTGTTTTTAACACTATTAGAGTGTATTTCTAAAAGTAGAGTGGTTTTATTTGAGACGCAAAATTCCAATTACACCATTGATGGGTGTAAAAAATAGTACCTTTGGGTCCTCACTGCCAAATACTAATAATAACAATAACCACTAAAATTGAATGAGTGTTTATTCTGGGCTGAGCATTGTACTAAGCAGGTTGCATACATTATGCCATTTAATCCCATCAACAACCCAGTGAGCTGATCAGTCTCATTTACACATTACAGATGAGAAAGGAAGACTTAAAGGAAAAGTAAACTGGCCAGTTCCAGAGAGAGTACGTGGAAAGGCCAGAATTAACTAACTCACAGGGCAAGCAACTCCTAACCTTTCCCATTGTCCAGCCTCTCTCTATATTCCATTTATTGGAGATGATAACATCCTCGTGTAACTATCACACATGATGATCATATATAACAAACATAACCATGTTCAAAACAACATTTGACAAAAGTCCTTATTTCTTTCTGCCTCCTCACCAGACCCGTGACATCAGAAACCCTGCCTGTGTTCCCGGCACTGTGTACACAGTAAACACTCAATAATCACAGGTATTCAGTTAGACAATGTGTTTGCAGGGTGGGCCAGGAAACTAATCTCTGTGAGGTTCCCAAGGTCCAAAAGGGAGACATAGCCAAGCTGAAAGATACAGGTCAAGTATCGTGCACATGGGGTAACCTGAAGCTTCTGACGGAAGCTTCTCAGAAGCCGCCTGACCCTTGAACCTGCAGCCAGGTGCTCCCGAGGCCTCAGAGTGAAGTGCACAAAAAGCACATCTCCTTGAAAAAGGGGAAACGTTCTGGGACCCCTGGCAACTATGACTTTTACCAAGCCACTTTCATTGCAGTAAAAAGACGAACTAGGCTAGAACAATGAGTTTCAAACTTTCCTTTCCCTAACAACAGAGCCTTTTTTGGTTTTTTTCAATGATATGTTTTGCAAATGCTCACCTTGTAAATAACAGTCTCAGCCTGGGCTCCAGAAGTCCCCTTCCCTGCTATTCTCTCATCATTTGTCATCTCCCACACCCATCACCCAGCCCAACCCCAAAGCCACTCCTGGAGTCTCCCAGGCTTGAGGAGCAGAGCTTGAAAACCTCCAGCCTTCTGAGGTCTTCATAGCACATTCTGGCTCTGATTCCTATAACCTCCAAGGTCTGAGACATACCTCTGGAATAAGCAGCTCTGCATTTTTATCAGTGAAATGGGCAATCTGTAGTGTAACAGGGAAGAAAGAATTCTCAAACTAGAAATCTTGGATTATAGTCTATTTAGGACCTGTGTTCTCGCAAGCGAGTTATTTAAATCTCGCTAAACCTCAGTTTTTCTTGTCTATAAAATGGGAAATAATAATGCTATCAACCAAATTAGGTTTTTATGAGAATTAACTTATTGAATATGTATATACACAAGCTGCTTAGGAGAATATTACAGTAAATACTGTGCTATAATCGCCCCATCTATAAATGTATCTAAGTCCACAGATGGAAAAGTATGCAGCACTGTGTCCATGGCAAAGGAGATGCTCAATAAGTGACAGAGGCCCATCTTGTTCCTTCCGTGCTCTCATGGACATTTTCAACTTGAACAAACCTAGATAGCTATAAAGAGCCAGAAGGACGAACACCTTTTGTGTCCCAAATTACCTAGAGCTCATCTTTAAAATCTTACAGCTTGTCTCTAGGACCTTTGAGATTCATGGCCATCTGGGCTTCCAAGAATGTCAGCCAACACAGTCAAGCGGGTATAGAGGTACAGAAAGTGAGTTTGAGAAAACCACTGATCCAGATAATTGGCACTGGAGAGAGTATTAGATGTGACATCCTCCCAGCTTCCACATCGACCAACCAAGCAGCCTGAGAAATTCCACCTGTTCTCTAAGTCTTGATTTCTCTATTTGTGAAATAGCGGTAAGAACCCTATCTTCCATCTCCCCGTGATGATGAGCAAAACCAAGGAGTTGATGGGTTTGAAAACTTCCCAGCTCTATACTTATATAAAATATTATCATTTTTATTATAACCTTAAGTAAAAAGTTGAACCATTGCAAAAAAACAAACAAAAAACACTTAGGATGTGCCAAAAACTTGGGAATCACCCTATTTTGAGGCCTTTGCTCCAACTGCAAGATTCCTTGTTTCTTGCCTGACTTTTACCTCAGGCTCCCTGCACATCCTGAAGGTGCTGCAAGGTTGACCCCATTTCATCACAGCTTTCCCAGCTGACTTCTCACCAGTGTTCTGAACTGCACAAAAAATAATGTGCAGCTGTGTTCGAGCCAGCACTCAGGGGCTCCAGGAGGGGCCCCAACCCGTCTTTCCCAGCGAACTCTCCCATCATATTGCTACATGAGTCCCTGGCTTCAGGCAAGAATATATCCCCAACTCCTCACAACTCCAAGGTTTGACCATGTTTTCCCTCAGGGCTGTACCTCCAAATCTGAGCACAAAATCTCCTCACTGTGCAGTGGGGAAGTGGACTCTTCAGAAGGGTTCTGTGATTGGGGTGAACTCAGCAGTGTCTTCAGTGCTCCAATCCTTTTCTAAAGATGGCCCCAATGATTACTGGTCCATAAAAGTGAACATCAGGAATAAAAGGAAATATTTCTGTATTTCTTTGTAGTCAACAAAGCTTTCATTGTCCCACCTTTTGGAATGCTGACTGCCACATCTGACCAAGACAGCCATTCTACAGATGAGAAACCTGAGGGTTCATGGCAGAGTAAGAAGCTGAGCCAGCAGCCCAGTCCACATGACACACTTCATCAGCAGCAGAGTGCCCTGAAAACCTGCCGTAAGAGGTGCCCTGGGCAAGTCACTGTCCTTCTCTGAGACATACAATGAGGACTCTGGGGCGATCCCACAAACGTACACACCTCTTTCTCTCTCCTGAAAGATTTCAGAAATGAAACCTTAGAGAGGAACTAACAAGGAAATGCTTGCATTTGTGTTTGGTCAGTTCCAACCCAAGCTTTCCTTCCCAACCTCCAAAGCCCATCCCATCAGAAGGACGAGGCACTGACCCCAATGCCAAAAAGCCACCAAGACTCTACAGGCTGACACAGGGGACACTGCCGTGTGATAGCATCACCATGCAGAACAGCAAGCTGCTCCCTCAGAATAACTGCAGTCACGGTCACAACACATGAACCTTGTCAGCAAATTGCTGGTTTGATTGGCAATTTTTAATAAGCTTATGAGGCAAGGGCATTAATGCGGATGGGACAGTATGCACCTGACATGCCTTGTGGCCTGTGGGCTCCACGAGGGAGGACAATAAAAGAAACCCTCTTTTCTTCAAGATCCTTGAGACAGTAGCTTCTCTCTTTACAGTGAAGGCAACTAGGACTGCTGCCTGACCACAGCACTTTCATTTGGATGTGGAGACAGTATCTGCATAGCAGGCTGCCACGCCCTCTCCTGGAATTCTCCTTAAGTCTAAATGTTGACTGCTAGGTTATCCCAGGACCACAGGATTCCCACCTGGCAAAACTCAGGTACCAACTAGTCCACTTGCTGTAAACAACTTGCTTGGGGCATTCATTCATTCATTCAGAAAGCACCCGAAGTTCACTGACGCACAGCGAGAAGATAAGGCTGGGTTTCTGCTTCCAAGGACCCTGTACCAATATCTTAAAGTGGCTTCCCAGTGGCAACACAGTAAGTCCAAGTGCTTAATCTAATATCTCAAGTTTCTGAATAACACAGAGTCTGTTCCACTATAAACTCCTTCCCACTGCCACTCAGCATACATCCTCTGCGTATTCAGACTGAACTCTTAACTCCCATGTTCTCGTACTTGACCTACTTCCCCTCCCCATCCTGAGATCCCAGATAGATATCCTATACATCCTTCCAGGCCATTGGCAGTTCTCAACAGGAACAAAATTGCTCTTTGAAGAAAGACAGTTATTTCTGCATTGTCTCATGTGTTACAGGATGTCTAGCATCTCTGGCCCTGAGCACTGCATGGCAATGGTGGTCTGGCCTCCAGCATTGAGACAAAAACAAAAAACACACTCCACCACATTTGTAAATACCTGTTAAAGAGATGTTACTGCCTCCAATGGTGAATTACCTGACCACTGTCACTCAGCATGAAACCTCCCTTGCTTCTCAGTCCAGTCAGAATAATCTCCCTTCTCTGAATTTGCTTAGCCTGCTGTCTAGGACACCAATCATGACCTTCATTGTACTATTCTTACGATGAACTTGACTTATTCCCTTCTCCAGTGAGGGCTCCCAGTGGAAGAACCCATGACTGACCTTTGCCCAAAGTGCCAAATCTAGACCCGAGTCAGGCTTACAGTAAGCATTTAAGAAACATTTGTGACCAAATTATATAAACAGAACAACTGTCCAAGGCATAACTCCCTATAGAAGATTAAACTGAACTAAAAAACTACAAGTCAACCATTGTTGTCAAAACTTAAAAAATAAAGAGGGGGAGGGGGGCGGTGGGGAACGAGAGAGTAGGAGATATCTATAATACTATCAACAATAAAAAATACATTTTTTAAAAACATCAAAAACAGAATTTGGATAAATGGCCTGCCTTTTCAGGATACTGAGTATATTAATGTTATGTATTTTATGTAAATAAAAAAAATATTAAGTAGACTATCATACCTAACTAATGGCCCAGTGCACAGACTCGTGCACATTCACAA